GCGAGGCTTCGAGAGGTGCTGTACGTCCTTTCACTGCCACCCCGCACCGCCCACTAGCCCTCGGGCAGACACCACATACATCCTCACTCGTCAGACGCACCACACAGCGGCACCCACAGCCATCCGTGTTCACCAAACCACATCCCCCACGTGGCCCTTGAAGCCCACCAGCTCCCGGCTCTGACTTAAAGGAGCAAAGGGAGAGACAACATGAAGTTACAGAATTCCAGGAGCAAAAGGAACAGGAAAGGGGATGAAATAACTACACAAATGGAGGAAACCATCTTCCCCTGAAGAAAGACCTGAGCCTGCAGGCCGACAGGCGCACCGGTTTCCAGACCCCAGCAAGGGGGGTTAGTGACGCGGAAGAGAAGCCAACGGCGGCCAGGAAACGAGAGGCCAGGACAGGGGCGAACACAGAACCAGAGAAGCGGGCAGGGCAGCTGAGCGCCCTGGTCAGCGAGAGGCAGGAGGGCACCTGAGTGCGAGCAGAGGCAGGGGAAGCTGCCAACTGACACAGCAGGACCGCCCCGCGGTGAGCAGCGACCAGAGGAGAGGACACAGAGCCACCGAGCAGGAAGGGTGGGCCCCAGGAAAGTGCCAAGTCAGGTTTCTTGGGCCCCGGGGCAAGTAGCCTAAAACTAAAAGCCCCGAACAGTCTCAGACCAGGAGGGGCGAGGGGAAACTCTGCAAAGGTCGCATCCGATTGGGTTGGGGGTTGGGCAGGGAAATGGGAAATGCAGCGATTTTGTTATGGACATAATGCATCTTGGTGGTAAAGATGGTAGACAAACACTAAGACAGTAAACAATGTCTGCGATTGTGGGAGAAGGCAGGAAGGGAACCATCCGTGGGACAGCAGAGGGAGGATCAGAAACTCACACGGGGGAGCCTGAGAAGCAGCAGCTCGCTGGAAGCACAAAGCTGCGGGCGGAGAGCGGAGACACCCTGAAACCGCAGCGATCTACACGCAGCAGCGGGGAAAGAGGCCGGCTGGGCGCCAGCCAGCACTCGAACAGAGCAGCCTGGACGTTCCTGCTGGGAGCAGGGGCCCAAGACTAGGTTAAAAGAAAGCAAGACCCAGCTAAATATCGTTTACAAGATGGACACTTGAAATGATCAAGAGTTAAAAATGAACGGGAAAGCAAAGATGCCAGGCGAGTTACGGTAGCTTGTGCTAAAACCCAAACACCAAGGTAGTAAAAAGAAGTCTAAGTCGTGGCATTTCATGACAGGCAGCAAACCCGTCAGCAGAGGAGCTAAACAGATAAAGACGGCACGTGTGACAACCAAAAGCGTAATTTACAAAGAAGCCGCAACGGTCACAAACTCCTCTTTACCAAAGCACGTACTGGCTAAACACAAAAACAAAAGCCACCGGAAACACAAGAGGACGCATCAGGGACGTGCAGCTCAAAACCGCAGTGACCTATCACCTCACACCTGTCGGGATGGCTATTTCCAAAAAAAACAGCCAGTGCTGCTGAGGATGTGGAGAAACTGGAGCCCTCTGCACGGCAGGCGGAGCGTGAACCGGTGCAGCTCCTCGGGAAAACAGTATGGAGGTTCCTCAAAAACGTGTAACAATAAAAGCACCACATGATCCAGCTCTCCCATTTCTGGGGACACCTAACCTATCCATCCGTCCACACAAAAGAACTGAAATCTGGATCTCGACCACGTTCGTTGCAGCACTACTCACAACAGATAAGCAGTGTCTGTCGGCAGCTGAGCAGATAAACGAACGTGGTCTGTACATGTACTGGAATACTGCTCAGCCTTAAAAAAGGAAGCTGCACTCTGCCACAGCCTGGGTGGGCCCTGAGGACACCACGCTCAGTGAGACAAGCTACACTCAGAAACACAAATGCTTAGTGACTAATTACACTCACGTGGGGCGTCTAAAACAGTGAAATTCATAAAAGCAAAGACTGGACGCTGACGACCTGGGGCTGGGGGGGACTGACTCACGTGCTGCTGGTGAACGGGAGCAAGGCGTCAGCCCAGTAAGATGGGTCAGCGCTAAACCTGCCGCAGTGCACTGCGCCCGGGCCGGCAGTAAGCTACCGACGCTGCACACCTGAGTCCACAGACCTCGTCGTGTGTTCTTATCACACACACACAGGCTTTCAAGGGAAAAAGGAAATCCAAGGGAAACTTGACAAACACGGAGATGAGGAGGGGTGTGTAACGGGCCCTCTCAGACCTGCACGGGTCTAGCGGTAAAAACACAGAGACCACGGCGCACACCCTGCCCTTGGGAGACTCAGCAAGCCTGGTGGCTGTCAGAGCCAGGCGCACCCTGCTGCGCTTCTGTCAGCGAGACTAAAGTCAGTCATGAACGTGGAGCTTAGAAAGTTTAAACACAGAGATGTGCTGGCCACATTTACCAGTCGTTATCTGACAAAATTAGCCACAATG